CAATGGAGCAGAGGTCCCTGAATACAGCGATGTGCGCTTTGGGGACATTTAAAAACTGTACGAGTGTTCGGACCATTCCATTAGCGTCCACAGGCCCCATTAGCCAGGATTCAGCAGATCTCCCAAGTGAGACGCTGAAGCAATGCTGTGTTGGAAGTTATACTCTCTAGGTTGTGATCTGAGCTCATACTGTTATGTTATTGACCTCCTAGAGGCCAATGCACGAAAATTCAAGCAATCCTCTAGCTGAGTCTAGTCTCCAGGTCCAGCACGGGCCCATTGGTCACCACCTAGAGGAAGGCGGGAGCAGTGCTGTGACCATGGAAACCACACAGGCCCTCGCCTCCCTCCCGGACACCCTGGAAATGCCAGCTTCCTGCAACCCAGCCTCACCCAGGAAGCCACCTCAGCTGTGCCCATGCCCTGGGAACACGCACACACATGTACATACATGTATATTCACACACACATGCACGTACAGTATCCAGAGACTGCAAGGACTATTCCTCTTTGGGAAGCACTTAAAATCCTCAAAATCTCCGGCCCAGGGACAGTCTTCTCATTTTCACTGTTTCCCTCCCATTTCCCTCCACACCGAAACCATCCTGTGTACGTGCCTCCAGCACAAAACCAGCAGGCGATTGCGCGGTGCTTCCAAACACGCCAACTCCGAGACGTCACTTTGTTAGAAAGGGGAAAGAATGTTTTACGCTCTGAAATCTATTTGATTTTCATGTCGAGATGTGCTCCTCCCGCTCCTGGCTGTCAAACGCACTAATCTCCAGGCCAAATTCCTTCCACCTGGTTTTGAGTATCCAAACCGTCATTATTTCCACTGCAAGGAACTGGAAAAACAAATGCATGTGCCCGTAACTTCACAGAACCACGGAGCAGCCTTCCTGCTCCTCTTAAAAAAAAAAGGACCGCCCACAGTCAGCCGTGAAACGTGGCACCGGAAACCCAGTCGCCATGATGGTGCCCTGTCGCTCCATCAGCGAAGCGGACTTCAGAGGAGGCAGAAGCCTTCCCAAGAGATTGAGGCCGACGCTACCCAAGGCGGCTGCTCAGAAGCAGGCACTGATTGCGTGTGCGGGGCCGGGCCCTGCTGTGCACACTGGCTCTCACCTTCCTCCTCGCCTGCTTCCTCCGCGTGCAGCGCTCCTCCTCCCACATCACGGCCACGGGCTCTCTCAGCCCACGAGCTCAGTGTCTGGCCGCGGCCTCCAGCCGATCACATACAAGTTCTTGGTTAAAACATCCCTCGAGGCTCATTTCCGGTCACCCACACGGAAACACAGCGGCTGTTCCACGAAGGAGGGCGGTAGAGGGAGACTGTGGACTGCAACTGGCCTGCGGTCAGCAGTCCTGGGCTAAGGACTCCAGGCCCGAGTGTTCTCAAGAGGAGCAAGACGGAGGACCGACCGAGGCACCCCAGAGCCCCCCTCTGCAGGCGCACCAGCCCCACAGCCGAACAGGGGGCCCGGGCAGCAGCTCCGTGGTTGGAGCGTCATCCTGTATGCCAAAAGGTCGCAGGTTCGATTCCCAGTCAGGGCCCATGCCTAGGTTGTGGGTTCCATCCCTGGTGGGGTGTGTACGAGCGGCAGCTGATCAATGTATCGCTCTCACATCAATGTTTCTCTCTCTCTCCCTCTCAAATCAATAACCAATCATATCCTCGGGTGAAGATTAAAAAAGAAAGGAACAGGGAAGAGGCCCAGGGAGTCCCCTGAGAAGGAGAAGCTCCCGTAAGATCGGCCATGTCCCGTCCGCTCCTGCGGACTAAGGGACACCCTCCTGCTCGCGCCTCCATCCGGCTGTGGGTTGGAAAACACGGTCCCCGAATCGCATGGGGACTCGGGCAGGAAAGCCCTGGGTCTGGAGCTGGTGCCTCACACACTGGGGAGCCGGAGGGGGGCTCAGAAGGCTGAGCCCTGGGATCCAATTTCAGAGAACAGACCAGCGGTAGGAGAGGGCGGGAGGGAGCTGCCAGCCACCCTTTCACCCCTTGTGCAGCTCATGGTGCTGAGTACCTGCTCCGCACAGCCCTGTGCGTGTCAGTGAGAAGAAGTGGAACTCGGGAATGGAGAGTGGGGGCGGGGGGGTGGGGAGGGGGAGAGGGGGTTGTTGTTGGCAGCTGAGTGGCCAGGATGGGCCCAGAGAAATGGGTGCGAAGGAGGAGAGCGCTGTCCACGCTGCGACATAACCACAGAGCAAGCACCTGCCTCGGACCGACTCCACCTGGAGAGGAGCCACGGGGAGTTCTGATCCTGGGACATGACCACAGAGCCAGATGGGCAGCCAGCGCCACGGGACCCGCGCTCATAAGGAGCTCGCACCCCGGACCCCCTCCCTCCCTCCTGCAGGAAGCTTTCCCCGAGGCAGAAATCCACTGGACACAGAGCAGCGCCAGCATGCCCGGCCGGTTCTCCCGCACCTGCTGCCCCGCCACGGGCCCTCCCGCGCGGCTCATGCCTTTCCATCAGTGTCTGGGTCTTCTAGTTGTTACTGAGGCCATTCACGGCCTCCAAGCAGGAACGACCTCACCGAGGGGCCCAGACACGAGGACAGTGTGGGAAGCCCTGGTCAACGGGTACCCCAAACTTCAAGACGGCAGCCACAGAGCATTCAGTGACATGCTGGGCCCTCCTGGGCCTGCAGCCTTGCAGGGCGTCACAGTCACACGCCCAGGAAGTGGCCCTACTCCCACCTCCCTGGCAGCCATGGGCCTTTCCCCTCCTCCTGCCCCTGCACACGAGGGAGTGAAAGCCAGAGCGAGCAGCCGGCTCTGACTATAGGGAGACACCGCGTGTGTTTGGACCACGGCGCTGTTCAGCGTTGTCGGGACTTCTTTTTAAATATATTTTGATTGATTTCAGAGAAGAAGGGAGAGGGGGAGAGAGAGAAGCATCAATGATGAGAGAAAACCATGGATCGGCTGCCTCCTGCACGCCCCCCACTGGGGATCGAGCCCGCAACCCGGGCCTGTGCCCTGACCAGGAATCGAACTGTGACCTCCTGGTTCATAGATCGACGTCCACCACTGAGCCACGCTGTCGGGCAGGACTTCTTAAAGCAATAATGGCTCAAAGAGAGCATCCGCACCTGTCCCCGGGGCTCAGACATTGTCACAGGAGGAACTGATGTGTCACGAGCA